AAATTCTACAGTCTATCTTCAGGTTATAAAACAAAGAAAACAGTAACTAATAATACCAAAGTTGAGTCATGCCAGTGGTATCAGAAAGTCTTCTGCTCACTCTAAAGAACCTTCTTATTATCCAGCAATAAGAATAATTTTTGAAACTGTGTTAAATTATACTGAATTATACTCAGTTACTCGGCACATGGAAGTGAAGTGCAGCTAATAAAACAACAGGGTCCTTCCCACTTGCGAAGTTACTTAATTAGATCATTTTTGCATGTGGCTCATAGTCCATGTGCAAGTTATCACATTATATTGCACAGAGCTGTACTACTGTTCGCTCCTGGCTCCCTTCAGTTCTTTGAACAGCTGCAGCCTACAGAAGCCTGGATCCATATGTCCATGGTGGATACGGCTGGCAGATCCCTTGAGGTTTACTTCTTTCTCTCACTTGCCCCGAGTTTAAATTTTTAATGCTTTTTCTTGAGTTACTGTAGAGATGCTAACTTGTACCTCTTTCTCCCTGAGGGAGAGAAAGAGCCGGAAGCAAGTAGGTGTTCTGTAAACATAACCAAGAACAAAATGCATCAAGGCTATTTTGGCCCCTTAATAAATAATACCACACAAGCACATATTGTAAATAACTTTTACTACCTTACATCAAAACATTGTCAGTAAACAGAGAAATGCAGCTGCTTCACAGAGCTTGTACCTGGGGGGCGGAGTGCAAGAATAGCCTTTTGAAGGCAAGCAAACTGTGTGTCTTTTGTAAATACTTGGCTCTTCCCTCTGGAGGGCTGCAAAGAGCGTATCATTTGGCAGGAATGATAGGAAAAGAGGGAAAGGCGAGACATACAGTGCAGAGGAGAAGACAGTAAAACTGCAACTTGAGGAAGTCTCAGAGCACATCCCAAGTGCAAGATACTTCAGCAAGCAGAAGTGAGAAATAAGATTAAGATGGCACGCTTCTTATATTCTCTATGGCTGTTGTTAACTATACTTTTTCAAATGAGATGTGTTATAGTTAGCATATTTTAAATTTCTAAGAAATGCACTCATACAGAGTTAATTGCAGAACTCCAAGCCCCTTAAGATAGTGTATGTCAGTCTAAAGGGAAATGATTGTAAAGAAGAAATCACTGTTACTTTGGTGGATGTGACATGAGAGTTTTCTGTGCAAGTATAGCAACAGTTAGCACAAACTTGTCTAATTCGAAGTTTGTATGTATATTTGGTATGTACAAACTTGAACAGCATAATTTTGCACATGTATGATACAGAGTATCTGGTAAAATGAAGGCTGAAAAGACATATGGTTGGGTTTTTTACATGGATAAACAGATTACTTTATTAGGCTTCCTTGCTTCAGTTTAAGAATCAACACTCTCAGCCATCTTCCACGCCTGGCACACAGAGCGGTCGGCCCCATGGTTTCAGCTGAAGTTGCTCACAACACATCAAGTCTAAGGTTAATCCAATAGTGTCTTAAACCAAACATCCGAACTCAGAGCCCCCTCTGCGAGTATTCATCCATCACTGGGTCTGTTATTATGTAGGGTTTAGAAAATACTGTGACTGAAATCTAGTTCTGTGATGGTGAAGATGAAGAGAGCCGGCAGTGCTGTATTTGGTTTGAATTTGTTTCAAGGGAAAACCCGGGCCAGCAGGACAGAAAGGAGCAGTCGGGTACCCTGGACCAGAACGCATTCCTGGCAACCCTGGCAAGCCTGGACTGTCAGGGAAGCCTGGCCCTAAGGTAAGTTGCTTTCCACATTGCCCCTCTTTATGTCATTTTGCATTACAAATTTTCTAGGTTAGGGTATTTAAACAGAAGGAACCATTCTCAGTTCCTTGACCATCTTGAAAGTTAGACCAATTCTTTGTTTTCATTTTCTTTTGCTCCTGATATTCTGGCCAGGATGTAAGGTTAGCATAAGGGAAGCGTGCTGTGAGAACTATTTCATTAACTTACATTAGTAGTAATTACAGCTAAGCGAGAATGCTTTCTTAATGAGAGAGGCTTCACAGCTGTGTTCCTGAAAATGAGCCATAGACCCCAACTGAGGCCGTTTCCTTTCAGGCCCTGAGATAATACCGCATTTTCCTTATTGTCTTTGAATTTGTAACCTATGTCTCTCTACCTCAGCAATTCTGAAGCTTTGCCCAAAACCAGTGAAAAAGGACATTAGGTATCTGAGGTAGCTGGGAACATTCTTGGAAATGTTTTTTTTGTTTGTGTGTGCTTTGCTGTGGGCCAAGGGTGGTGACCTGCTGTCTGCTGCTTCTGGGAGCAGCGACACAGCTCTTCGCTGCTTCACTCCAGAGAGGAGGGAGCAAATTCCTTTAGTTGTTGTCAGTGCTGAAAGTCTGATCACTTTGATTTCAGGTATGGTATTTCTCAGTAGTTCTAGTTAGATGGACCAGTAATTGTTATAAAAGGATGCCAAGGTAGATTCGGTGTTAGGAATTAATCAAGGTGCCGAATGAGGCACCTCTCTTTACTAGTGTAAATTTGCCTATCTGGTTGAACAAAGAGAAAATTAAACAAGTTACCCATAGGGAGAAGATGTACCCTAGTCGAGCCTTCTCCATTTTCAGATAATGTCCTCCTCTTTCAAGTATTTAAAATTCTTTGGAGTTGCATGTAGCAGTATCACCCCAAAGAATTCTTACATGTTTGACTTTCCACTCAAAATGTCATCTTTCATATTAAAAAAGGTTCTATTACTCCATATTACAAATTGTAATACTACTACATATTGTTAATAAAGACAGGCTTTTAACTGATTTTTGCCACAATGAATAAAAAGAACAGAACTGAAGTTCATCAGTCCATCAGGCTATAAGCCACAGTACCATATTCAAAAGCTCTGAAAATCACATTTAATATAAAAATCCTGCTTCCTATAACCCTTTTATTTCTATGAATGCTTAACAGAATGTCATATGAAATAAGAAAGAAGATATATATATATGTATATATATTTCTACTACATGACATCACAGAATCATTCATTTGGATGGTAACAAATTTCCATTTTGTATTTTTTAACATGTCAAAATTGGCATAACTCCATGTACTCAGTAACATGTTTTTTCATTAAAAATAGTTGCTTTTGTTTACTGTCTGATGTTCTCATACATTTTCATAACAAATGTTATGATCTTTCTTGATGTGGTAAAGTTATTGTACATTAATGCCTACAGAGTGTACACAATGGTACTAATATCAGTATGTCTGGTACTTATAAATAAGCATGTTGAATTTTGAATGTTTCTGTGGGAAGGTAGTCTCATTTTGTTTCTTGATATGGAGTTCCTTCTTGAAAAAATGAATACTGTGAATCTCAACTATTATTTTCAGCCCATCTGTAATGAATGAATCCAGCATCTTGTTTTCATCAGAAGGAGCTCTTTATTGTAAGCTCAGAATCCTCAGACATCACACAACACCCATCCAAGAACCATCTCAAGGAGTCATCTTCTATAATTAATGGAGATTAGTGCCCTCTTCCTGCATATTTCAAAATAGAGTTAGAAAATAATTAAACAGGGATCCGCACTAACAGCTATTAATCTCAACATGCAAATTTTCAGGTTTGGGAAAAATTTTAGTATTCTGTATGATTCCCTGTGGGAGGTAAAAGCAGTCATTGGTATACCCATGAGTGCTTCCATATATACTTGAATGCACAATTACTGTGGACAAAAGATTGCTTACTGTCCAACTGGGTAACTATTCCTATTTAAGAGGGTGCCAATAGGGAATATTCCTCACATAAGCCCGAAGAGGCAATTGATTCTCTTGAATGTTCTCCGAAGTCTTTCAAGGTCTAGATAGGTGATCCCACACAAATGCCATCATGATGTATTTAGGATAGGACAGAACAAGGTTTAAGATGAACACCGAGCTGAACAACTGCAATGGGCTATGGCATGGTTAGCATTTGCTTTGCTGACAGTCAGTGACTTGTTAAACTGTAATAACTTGACTCCTCAGAAACCCCACAGTTAAAGCACATGTAGCTTTGTTGCTAAGTATGATTGGGCTTTGCTTTTGGAGTATTGGCAGAAATCCAGATGATACTGCTGATCATTGTCTTTCCATATATTTTGATGTACTCTCAATGTGTGTCCATATATACAGAAAGCATTAAGTGGATTTGACTGATTATATGTTATAAGCCTGTTTTCGCATATAATGAAAAAACATGTTTGGCTGTTCCGCTTGTAATCAGTTATTTTCAATTTAAGGGTAATAAAGGAAACTCAGGCTTACCAGGTCTGGCAGGTTATCCTGGAGCTCGAGGTCCCAAAGGATTGCCAGGCATGCCAGGACCCATGGGAGCACCTGGACTAAAGGTACACACATGGGATCTTGTTAAGTACAGTGTTACTGATATTGCTTAGTCTTCATACTGCATCCAGTGATCGTGGAATGACCATGCTGCTGTTAATCATATGAGTAACTGACATCAAAACTTACCTGAAGGGTAAGACTGCAAGTTGTGCTGACCTCGTTTCTATAACCTGTAATTTGAAAACAGGGTTCCCATCCATCTGGATGCTATTCCCAACTCCAGAAGGCATTCAAAACGCTTTTTATTCATCCAAAGCTTTAGGGCCAAATGATTCTTGACTTTTCTTTTTAAACTTCTGTAACTACTAGAACAGTCTAGATGATTTGAACATCTAAGCAATCTATTAGCAGAGAAGTACTGTAATTTCAAGCCTGAGTCCCAAGGTTGGGGGCTAACAAGCATGTCTGAGATGTTCATTTATCATAGGACTTAAACTGTTCTTGTTCAGCCCTGTCAGAAAGAAAGAAATCAGAGTGCTCCATTTTCCAGGCAGTTCCAGGTACCTGACATCAGAATATCCTCAGCTTCTACTGATAATATTAATTAGACTAATTTCAGTGGTAAAAGAAGCAAAGAATGTAAACATTACAGATAATTTTCTCCATTTAGAATAGGATTTTTCATCTAAAATCATGATTTGCAGTGCTCTGAGATTTTATTGATAAGCAGTTTTTAAAACCTTAAGTTACTTGAAAACTGGGGCAGGGAAATACTGTCTGTCTTTGTTATCTTTTCATGGAAATATTTTAGTATAAACTGTATTCACTATTTGTAGTGTTTATTGCCAGTGGTCCCAGTCTGGATTTTACTCCTTTGTCTAGACAATGAGCCCTAGGAGGTAGTTCCTGCTCAGAAATGCTTGCAATCTGAAAAAGACAGGGAATAGATGAGGTGAAGGAGAACGGTTACCACATTGTACAAAATAAACGTTAAGAGTGGACATACTGAGTCAGGCCAGAAGTCTGTCTTTGTTAGAGCCGAAAGGTAACACCTAGGAAAGAGCATAGCATAAGCACAAAGCAAGCATGAAAGGTGTATATTCCCAGACTTAATTGCAGCTCTGCAACCTCCTGAGCTAGACATGGTTTCTCTGTACCTGATAGTCCTCAGAGGATTTCTCTTGCATGAACTTGTCTAGTGTCCATTTGCATTGATGTAAACATTTAGTCTAACAGCAAGGAGTTCCACAACTGTACATTGCCTTGCTCAGAGGATTACTTTTTAAATTTACGTCTAACCCTCATGTTCTGTATTTCATTTTGTGCATTTTAGTTCTTGCACTGGGAATTATCATACTGGAAATGATCCAACATGTGTGGTTTTTGTATGTTTCCAAGTCAAGGAAGAGTCAAGTCACATTTGCATTTTATTGAGAGTATAATTATTGAAAGCATTCCTGATGGAAATAAAATGAATAGAGTAGGTTTATTTCTTAGAGAGAAAGCATGTTCCACACTTCTGCCAGGAAACCAATCTTTATGTTTATAACTGTCATAATCGTAATAAAGAATATATTATGTTGCTATTGACAGGGTGAGAAAGGGCTTCTGGGTCACCCAGGAAAGCGAGGCAAAAGAGGCCTTCCAGGAACACAAGGTGACCAAGGACGAGCAGGAGACGCTGGACTGAAAGGACAGACTGTACGTAATCGCAGCTGTTGGTGCAAAACAAGTAGTCCAAGAGTTACCAACGTGAAATAATAAGGATGCCTGCTCCTATTACAGGGAGAAGATGGAGATCAAGGTTTGATGGGGTTTCAAGGTTTCCCAGGTCCAAAAGTACGTGCTCATTCTTTTCTGTTAGATCTTAAGCCATTTACAGAGCGAGAGCATTAGGAAAGCATAGAATTAATCGGCTTTAATAATAATTTGTTCAAAATCTATCTGAACTGTTGGAACATTGTAGGCAGAACTGTGTACTCCATGTCCAAAGACAAATGTTCTGGGTCAGTGTGCTTGGTATTTTCACTATTACTGCACTTAGAAATTATCTTGTTTCCACTGATTACAAGAGATTGAAACAAGTGGAGAGCTAATGTTCATGTTTGACTAAACCGTTCCTTTGTGTTTTCAGGGTCCTGCAGGGGACATTGGCTTAGTTGGAATTCTGGGCCCAAAAGGTCCAACAGGCCAAGTTGTAAGTGTTTCACTCCGTTAAAGAGATTGTCAGGATAGCTTGCAAGTGGCTCATGTTTTTACTTTAGGGAATCATCTTTTTTCTTATTAACAAGGCTGGAACCCTCTAGCCAAACCTTTCTCTCTGAGACTATGACTCCACTAGAAGCCCTTTGCCTGTACTGCGACGCTGCTCTGGTTGCAACATGGGTACAGATACACAAGCAGAGCTGAGCTCTCAATCTTGAAGGAAAAAAGCAAGCTCTGCTGACAAAGTGTGGCTCTCCTAGTATAATTTTGTGTACACAAGTATCCTTATCACTGTTGTATCTTTGTTTATTGGGGTTGAACATTCTCTTCTTACTGGCAACAATGCTAGTTGTGTAACTCTGTCCTACAGCAAAACAAAAAAGGGTCAAACTTTGCCTGCAGTAAGACAGAGTGGTGCTTAGGCATTATTGATTAATAGGTAGTCTTTTTTTAATAAATATTTTCTTTTTATCTATAAGGTTACTAACTTGCATTAGCTTATTCTTCGTGACACCTTCTTCATGACATTCTACTTTCCTACTGGTCAAAAACGTGGAAGCATCTTTAGTATTTTGTAATGCTGCGGAGTATGCATCCAGCTTACAGCATCAAGTGAAAAAGGAAAAAGGGGGAAAGGCTGCAGCATGGAAGGCCTTACTACAAAATGTTCTTCTCTTACTGCTGCCATTGCCATCACAGAACTGAGTTAGTTCAGTTAACCAGCTGCAGAGCAGCAGTTTTAGGGACCTGTTCTAATAGCTGCTTTCTTTTTCTAAACGTTCCTATACAAGATAAACACTGGAAATGAGCAGTTTGCTCTAAGTGAAATGGAACAGGAAAGTAACATTTTAGCAGTACTTACTGGCAGCCTTGCAAGAGTACTTGTGGGCAGTAATATAATCAAGATATGGTTGATTGTAGCTCAATACATATGTGGTCTTTGGTAATCAGAGTACTTAAGTATCCACTGGTTTTAGTGCATCAACTTTCACATAAAAGAATGTGTGTGGGCTTTCCATGCATAACTATTACTAATTATTAAAATAATCACCTCGCTGATTTTGTAGCAATGTGCACTCTTTATTCAGAAAGAAAATATCACCATGGTCTTTTAGATATTTGTGAGGGCTCTGTGCTGAGCAACGTTAAACCAGGACATGTCATGAGGATTTTCTTAATTTTGAAAACATGGTGGACTAATAAATTCTTTGCTTGTTTACAGGGATATATTGGCCCTGTTGGTCAAGAAGGCCTAACAGGTCCAACTGGCAGGCCTGTAAGTTTCTCTTCTCTTTTGCATAATTTGGTTATTTCACCTACCCTTATTTTTAATAATCCATTTTGCAACTAGCAACCTTCTCATTTTTCCATTTGCAAATAGCAGCTAGCAGGACCATCTTCATATTATACCACACTGGTGAGCTAACATTTGTGACTCCAGCATCTGTGATACAAACAAGAAAAAAAATGACAAAAAACAATGACAAAAGAGTCATGGCAATGGCCTTCTGTCTAAGTACAGAATACAGAGGGCATGTCTACAGGGGCAGCAGTCGAGGTATAAAGCAGCACATAGTTAACTACCACCTGGATATTCTTTCTCAGCCTTAAGTCTGAGACGTATGTAGAGAGTATCCACACGTGGTTTCAATGTAGTTTATTTTTTATGTGTTGATTGGGCTAAACTGTCCAGGGTGCCCCTCTAGACATGCTGGGAGTGCACACAAGGCCTTGTTGGGGTGTTCCAGGTGCTGGAGAGGTCCCCATTACAACTCAAACATCTTTTTGGCCTTTCTGACAACCTTCAATGCTCCCCAGGTTCCCTGCAGTGGGGGAGCTCTGCTCTTACCCTTGTTTCCACCCCTTGTTGCACTCCGTGTGCCAGACATAGAGCAGTGTTCTGCAAGACCACCCTCTGGCTCCTATCTGCAGCCTACCCAGCCATGTAAGGTAGCTTTAGAAGCTCTTTGTACCACCCAGGTTGTTCTGTCTGATCAACAAGACTTGGAGTGAATGACAATGTCTAAAAATTGAAATAATAATCATTAAAATAAGAGGAATGTACTATAAAAGTAATAAATACAAATATTTACAAGGGGAAACAAAAGGAAAAGGGAAATATTCCTTCTATAATTAGACTATTCTTTCCACCTGTTGGGAAAAAGACAGCATTTTAAGTCTTGCTGCACTCTTTTCAATCCCACTCAGGAGGAAAACTTTACAGTTGCATATACTTGTATGAAAGCTTTTAATAGACTTCATATTGAATGTAATAGTTTGCCTTATCATTAAGAAAGCATTACAGCTGAAGATTACTTCTATGTGTTATGAAATGCTGCCATCAAGATGCAAAATTCTTCCAGAGAAGAACTGTAAGATTGTTACTATCTTCGGAAACACAGTTTAAGTGCAAAACTAGCTCAAATGCCATGGAGACAGAAAAACGGTGTCTAATCTGACTGTGAGAGAAGTAATGGGGTAATAAAAGCAGATATGTAACTGAGAGATTCCTTCAGTGATGGAAAGTACTGAGATTTGTTCTCAACTCTTAAGATGGTGAAGCACTAATCTATTACTGTGGATCAAACTGCAGAGTGTACAGCTGATTGACAGGGAGAACACCAACAGTTAAAATTACTGAGAAAAAACATATTTACAATCTGAAGAAAACAGTCAGTTTTCCACATACAAGAATTACAAGATGTTTTGAAGTAATTTATTTTTCTAATAGTATGGAAAAATTAAAGCCCCAGAGTTGTAAATACTTCCACAGATGAGACTGGATTTTTCATATGAGCGGTATAACTCTCATGGATATTAATTTGCTTATTTAGTCCTAGGCAGCTAGAAAGCATACTGGATTAACAGCTTCTCTTTCTTACAGGGACCAAGAGGTGAAAAGGGCACACGGGGTGAAATGGTAAGATGAAACAACTTCCATGCTTTCATTTTTTTGGCTGTGTAAGAAGTATTCCTGTGTTACTCTGAATGTACTCTTGCATGCTCTGAATGCCAGACAGTCGTGTTGTGCTCCTGGAGAGTGCTGGCCAAGAAGGCTGGTAGCATGAGTCAAAAGTCTGACCTTTTCTTGTTCAAGTTGGTTTATGTAGATATGCCCGCTGAGTGTGTGCGGTCGGGCAGTATGGCCCTTGATCATAGAGCAGTCAGATACTTCAAATCTGTTTCACTTCAGATGTAAAAGAAAAATACTTTGTCACATTTGTTGTCAATGCTCCAGCGCCTCACAGCACAGTGTGCATATACATGTTCGTACTTCTTTATTATCTTGTCTAGAGAGGGAGAACTTCAGGAGAAGCCTAGAGGTGAGGATGGGTGTCCATGCAACGTATGCCAGCTGTAGTAGCAGTAGGCAGCACTGACAGGTTATGAAGTTGCTCCCTCTCATTTTTCAGTAAGAATACCACATTATTTTGTACATTAATAGGTGTTAGGTTTTATTTTTTAAAAAAATGTGTTAGAGCTAGTAAAACTTCCAATTAATAATTGTTATGTGAAAAGCCAGTGTCAATTTATCATATTGACAGCAAATATGAATCCAATGATACCTATGACTTTATATGACAGGTTTATAATTAGTTCCTCTTCCAGTAACTGGCCAATGTGATCTTGTTCTTGTTGCTCTTAACATGCCTTTGATCCCACCTCACTTAAAGTAATTTTGTTTCTCTTGTCTTATAGTATTTTGCTTTTAGCAGCCACTTGTGTGTGATTCTAACTTAACTGCTGTATAAAAGTTTTGAAAAATAAATCAGAAATATTAAAAATGGTTCAAAGAATTAAAGCTTGGAACTAAGCTTGCTGTACACGTCTTGGGGAACTTTCCTCTTTGATTCTAATCCTCTTGAGGCCATTCCTATTAGAGTAAGAGGAAAACTAGGTTCTTTAATTCGTGCTGCTATTAACCATCTTAAATGTTTTTTTTTTCTCCTGTTTGTTCATGAGAATTGCTATGACAGTATAGAGCTAAAAATGCTGACACTTAAAAAATAATAATAAAACCCATCCAAAACGGTGAACAAGAAACACCCGTTTCCATTACTGGTGCTGGTGTTTAAGAAGCTATTTCCTAAACAAGTTATTGAATTCATTGAGATGAATTAATCTCCTAAGACTGTCTTCAGAAGAAGAATGTTTAATTTTAAATCATACCCAGTGGCATTAGTTTATATCATGTAGCCAAGAAAAGGATTTATTTCCAACTATTCTCAGATACAAAGGAGAGAAAATGATTTTTCATCCAACTGTGTATTCCCAGCTTGAATTTATACCTTTAAAATTTATATTGGCATTCTTCCTAGAATCACAAAAATTTTAACTTTTTTGTAGCAGTCTGAGTTTTAGTTTTTAGTCTGTCAGGCATACAGTGTTCATTACTAGAAAGAAATATCCTTTTATCCCCTGAAAAACATGGAATGTAAAATCATATGTCCTTGTTGAAGTCAGTGGTGAACCAAAATTCAGGTCCTGTAAGCTCTTTCTGGCAAAACAATGATAGAGTCAGAAACAAGTTTGTTGAAAAATTTTAATCAAAATTATTTTTCATTTCAAAATATTTATATCGCTGTGATTGAAACACTCAGAAAAATATGGAATACATTTTGGAATATTGTTTCAGAATTCTGACATTTCTGAAAGTGTGTTTTCATTTTCTTTTTTTTTTTTTTTTTAATTTCATGATATGTCACATAATGAATTATAATATAGAGTCATAGGATAATCCAGATTGTAAGGGATCTCAAGACATTTCTAGACCAACCTCCTGTTTAAAAAAGGGTCAGCTCTGGGATCAGACCACATTGCTCAGGGCTTTATTCAGGTAGCTCTTGAATACTTCCAGAGATGGAGACTGGATAATCTCTTTGGGCAATGTGTTCCGGCGCATCACTATCCTCAAGGTGAAAAAAAATACAGTATGATATGATAAGGCATAATCTGTAATTTTCTATTATTATCTTTTATCTTAGATTTACAATCATTAATGGCAGCTACTACACCATATTGTGTATCAGACTGTCATATTGCAGGATGTTATTAGGCTTTACCCATTCTGAGATATGGCGACATCACATCAAAATGACAAAAGTGTTCAGGAAAAGCTTAACATCAATCATTTTTGTTAAAAATACTTTCTGTTTCTTCAAAAATTTTGAGAGTCATGGAAAATATGGAAGTCCGTGGGATTGTTCATGTTTTCAAAGTTAAGCATATGTATCATTGCGTGTAAAATTAAGGCCTTATGGTATTATAAAAAGATTGGAGTTTTGGCCTTTGAACTTCTGTACTAGCAATCAAATTGGGTGATTAAGAATTAGAGAGCACACAAAAACTACCTGTCCTATTCTCAGCTTTTGTTATTATAAACTGGAATTACACTTTTCTTACTTAAATTCTAATGTGATCAAAGGGTAAAGTAAGTAGATTTGTAAAGGCAATCCTGTACGTTCCGGTAAACCATTTAGCAATTAACTTAATCCACGAATAGTGTAATTTAAACCTTATTTTGCTGTTCTACAACAAAAATAATGAACATTTATAACATCTCTACGAGATTTTCAAGACACACTGTGCAGTTTTGTTATATTTAAAGGCTTGTAAAGGTAATTCATATAGCCCTGTGAAGTTTTAATGAGTTTAAGAAATGTAATATCCCCAAAAGTAGTTTACTATAGTTAACAAACAGCATTCAATATTTACCTTTTTTTCACATGGGTTTTGTTGGCAAGGAGACAGTGAATCAAGACAAATCACATTCCTGTTTCGCAAAATAGATTAAATTCATTGGAACAGTGCAGGTTTTGATTTTTTAAATATTCAGTTCTATCTCAGAAACCACTATAAATTTGAACTGTTCTCGTCCCAAGACTTTTGGAGTCTTAAAATTGTGACACATGCCAAGAACATAGAATGTTAACTGAAGCATTCAGTCATCTGAAAAATCCACTGGAATGTCTAAATCTCAGCACCCAGAACAAGGACATCTATTCATCAGAGAGCAGTGGTTACTGAGGGACAAACTGTTGAAGACTTTGTGCCTTGCCTTGACTTGGTATTTGCATAATCAAGTCCTGACCCAAGATAAACAAGTATGTCCTTACACTGTCAAATTAATTTCTAGAGTTTCTTTTTCACACTTTCATTTTATACTAAACATACTTCACCAAGCACGATCATACAGTTCAGTAATATATTCACAGGGGACTGAAGGTATCCTGCAGCAGCCTAACAGTGCCCGAGTTGCTGATCTGATTAATTAAATGTGGAGGTCAGCCTTCTCCGCTGGCATACAACAGTGTAGCTCTGTGAAACCCAGTTGATTTGCAACAGCTGAGGGACTACCCCAAAATAGTGGCTGTCATTTCTGCAAACTCATCAGTTTTGCAATAATGAATAGCAACAATAACATTTGATGCCTATTTAATAGTAATAGGATTTCAAAGAAAATTTCAAGCTGGGCAATAATCAAACTCAGAAGAGTAAAGGGAAGCTAGGTACTTGCCGTGGAACCCACAGGGTTTTCTATACTACTGTATAGGCTAAAATGACCTATTCTTTGATTTCCATTTTCCAGCATCAGTCATTAATTTATTTACAAAATATCAGTAAATGTTTACCTAAAAGATGGATGGCTTAGAGTCCCTTATGTAAGTACAAGTGGATGAAACATAAATAAATAGGTCAGGATGCATCAGCTGGAAAGTTAATATTTACAGTCCCTAGAGCTTATGCCGTTACAGTCATCTTAGTTAAGCGTCAGAAGACCATCTCCCGGAACACCCAGAAATTGCTTCAATGTCGATTCTCCTCTATTCTCCAAAGAACATGTGTAAAACATGGGGCTCAGCCTCAAAAATAATTTGCAGTCCCTCAGCATAGCCTTGTTGGAATGGATCTGGTGCTAGGAATTACATGATGGCACCCACTTGTCACACCCTTCATAATCCAGCACCTGAGCCCCTCTGGCATGGCCAGGGCAGGTGATGTGCAGGCACGCTTAACTTGTGCAGCTCTGGAGGTCATTGTAACCCCTGACAGATGCGTTGCCCAGTAGCTACCATGTGCTCCGCCTGACAAATATGTCTAGAGAAAGTAAGAAATGCAGCTGGTATTCTCCTAAAAATTGATAAATTTGGAGCCTCAGTGACTTAAGTACTAAATCACTCCTATCTGCTTTGAGATCCTTTTTAAATATACATGAATCGATGTAAGATTGAATCTGGCCTTCCTTTAACCATTTCCAGCTGCCCTTGCTGGTGGCAGCTTGAAGCACAGCCCAAGTTCAGCAGTTGTAGCATGCGGTGACACACGTAGATCTTGCTGTGAAATCTCACAGCAATTACTATAGTAAGTGATTTACAACTTAATACCTCTTTGACTAGATCAGTTTTGCAATATTTGTCAGCATGACCATGTCGGATAAGATTATTTCTCTTTTGGCAGAGACTTAGCACTAGTGTGACCATACTGGTGTAAGAGGGGTTTTGCTGGAACAGCTCATTGTGCTCAAATAATTGGTACAAGCAGCACTGGCTAAAGAGTGTTTTGCTTAAATTAACTCAGTTATGTTAAAAGGTTTTACTAATACAAGGTGCAAGTCTGGCCGACGCCTTTCGTTCCTTCTTCTCTTTTGCTCATATTAAGGTACCGCCACCTATTCCTTTCCCTGTCATTGTTCTTGCTATTGTTTATGTTACAGCAGCTCCTAGAGGCTTTGAGTATATAGAGATTGAACAAGACAATCTAACAGAAACACAAGGATCACTGTACATTAATAAATAGTCATAATCATTCCATCTTAATGTGAGTAGTTGCTCAAAGAAAGGGTAATTCAGATGGACTTACTGTTTTGGGGAGGGTCCATGTCCAACCCTAAGGCAAGCCTAAAACTTAGATTTAAGACTACGTGCATTGTAGGCACTATAAGCTAGGGAAAAGCAGCTGTTCCTTCTCCTCCTCTCCTCCCTGCTGCACCATCCTACACGCTAAAATGGTGCCACTTATGGTGAGGAAATAAGAGCATAACTTCATGAATACGAAGGAAGCCTGCAATATCACTGTTCAACAATGAACACAGCATGTTCTGGCTGAAAACTGACACTGCTAATAAATGGAGCTAATACATGCCTAGCAGATACTCACGGAGTAAAGCAGATCAGTTAGTTTCTTACAACCACCCATAACATTATTTACAATGCTTTTATGATCATTCATCCCTTGTAGTACTTGTATTGGCAACGTGGCATATAATGCTGCCACAATGTATAGCACGTTATATATTAATACTTTGTATGACTTCTAATGTTCCCTTAATATCAAAAGTAATTGGATAAACAAGTAACCAGACAACCTGGCAATTCTAAAAGGAATGTTCGCAAGTTTGAACAGAGTATGGTACTTTAACAACAGTAACTAATAATCTACAACTTTACCAAAGCCGGTGTCACATCTTCTCTATTGTACACGTTGTGACATTTTGTGATTTAAAAAATACATAAATATAAAAGCAGAGATGTTCATCTATAACTGTTGCATTTTATCTCCATTTCTTCTAGGGGCCTCAGGGACCTCAGGGCCAACCAGGGCCACCTGTAAGTGCATAAAAACCCATGCCTGTATTTTTCCGTTGTGGTTGCATTGTATAAACATGTGAAGCACCTAATATCTGGTTTCTCCCATTTTCCAGGGGCCACCTGGACCACCAGGACCAAGAGTGAGTTCTGTAACAACCCTAACCTACAATACGGTCCTTTTTTGAAAGTGAAAATAGCAGGATCCTCTTCAAATGCATTGATTGTTCCATCACTGCACATGAAATGCAAATACATTTTTCTACAACTTCCATCACTACAGTAATACATTTTTTGAACCTTCCATCTTACATTGTCATTTCTGTTCTGCCATGGTGTTGGGCCCCCAACAGGCAATGCTCGTGGATATGTGCATAACTTCTGACATCGGTTAACCCTGTCACACTCTAAAAGGTTTTTCTCCTGTTCTGCATTTGAACGCTCTGAAAGATAGCAACAGAAAATTTTGTGCTATTTCTGGCCCAGATGTTCTCCCTATATATATGTATACACACAGAGATTTAGTTTGTTAAGGAATTGTGCCAGTTAAGACAGACTTAATATCTGAAGTGTCCTAAAGCTGTAATGATATATGTAACCTGAGAACAAATTGCAAGAACTAGGTGTTTGTGTGGGTGACTTAATTCTTTAAAAATAAATAAACCTATTGTCTGGGTCTGGTATATATGTCACACAAAGTGCAGAGAATGAAGATATGCAAGAAACAGGCTTCCTCCTTCAGAGGCTGGTTTGTCAGTCTTGGTATTTGTTCATGCATCATGAAGACTACTTTGATCTGTCAGCTGCTGATGGCTGATTGAGATATTCTTTGTGTGCTCCTCTGTAAAAGAATAACACCTTTTCACACTTACCTGGATTGGTTTTCTTAAGTATATAAATTAAATGGCTGGGAGTAATAAGTTGGGACATCAGTCTGTAACAACTATTACAGTAACTTTTTTCCATTTTCCAGGAGTATGATCATTAAATAGGGTGTGGGGGTGCTAACAAAAATCAAAAATGCTTTTTCTGTATGCATGCTTGCATTCTTTGGAAATGGAAGGGAGGATCCTGTTTTAAAAGTAAGTGTTTACAATGATTTATTTTCTAAAATGACAAAATAATGGAGTGATCGTGTATGTTGCTACAGTGCTCAAAGAATTTACCACCTGCATTTTAGAATATTCCTGTTCATCTTTTTATATTCTGAAATATCTTTTTTTTTTTTTTTCCAGAAACAAGTGGACATCAATGCTGCTGTTCAAGCTTTGATTCAGTCAAATGCTGCACTGCAGATGGAGGTAGTATATTTCAATGTATTTACGTTGTCTTACAGGGTACGCAATTATAATTCTGTTTTTTTCCAGACAGAACAGGGCTTCTTTACAAAGACTTAATGTAAAATGAATCATGGATGGCAAGTAATTACTGTAGAATATAATTAAACATGCTAGGATTTATAGGATACAATTGAAATGAAGTTAAGAAAAACAGCAGCATTTCTGTCTTTTTGTTATGATTGGCAGTAATGGAACTTTACTGACTATCACACATAGCGGACTGTATCTATTCAGCCACAGATAATAATAGTGGCATTTAGGCCTTGATCCAAAAAATACTGACAGATATGCAAGTGTGTGGTCCCACTGATTGCAAGAAAATTTCTTACATAGGTGAAATCAAATACATTTCCATATATTTTCTAGGTTAAGTCTAAGAGTAGATTTCACTGTTCAAAATCTGAAATTGCTAAGTATACTTTAAAAATGCACTAATTTTTTTTTCTTTTTTTCCCTGTATCCACATTTTTGTGTCAACGTGTCATAATGACGTATTTGCATGATCTTAACCTGCCTGTAACTTCACTGCTCTGATAATTTTAATAAAATGTACTAATTTGTTTATTGGAATATGTTATTCTTACCCTGCTTTATATGGCTGATTGCATGCGTTATAAATACTTTGCTTCTGTCTGGCTATCCAATGGCCATTTGACTTTTACTGCATATACTGTTGCTGTGATACTTCTTTGTGGTAACGCATTTGCTAATGGACCTTGGCAGAAATACCAGAATACTGAAGTAACTTTACTAGATCACAGTACAGAGATATTCAAAACGCTGCACTACCTTAGCAATTTACTGCACAGCATCAAGAACCCCCTTGGCACGCGGGATAACCCAGCACGCATCTGCAGGGATTTGCTTAACTGTGAACGTAAAGTGGCAGATGGTAAGTGTCCACTTTCATTAAAGCTTGAACACAACTAGGCTTTGAAATGTGTTGCTTCCAAATGTTACTTTCTACATCAAAATTCTAATGTGTAAATTTTTTATTATATTCTGTTGCAGTGTGCCTGTCACAGCTATCGATATTTTATCTTTAAGATAAAATTTCTGAATTTTAAAGATGAAAGTATGTAACTATCTAATATTACACAGACATTAGAGACAGATTATATATGTAAAGTAAACAAAAGTATCCAGAAAATTTGAAAATTAATCCAATTTTGTGATTAAAAGTTTCCCAAGTATTTATAGATAATCTGCAATGAATTTTGTGTGGATCAGTTTCTAGATTCCTAATGAGAAAATTGCATACAATACACTACCACTGTCAGGTACACTGACAGTTGTTGTATCCCAGAAGATCCTGAATCAGTATTTCAAATCAAAACTGATTATTTAAAGCTGTAATGTCACTACTGTGACATAATTCAGTTTCTGAGTGGCTAATAAAATAATAAATGCCTGTAAATATCCCTATCATCAAGTATTAGCATTAACAAGCTAAGGAGGAAATGGGAAATGAAGTTTGAGGTTACAGGGAAATCACTGTTCTATGGCATATATAAGGAGGGATCAATTCTTTAAGACTCTAGTAGAGATGAGCCTAACCCTTATCAGAAATGTGCTCTCCTAAATAAATCTCAGTCCTTTAGGGCCACGGAGGTCACTGACACAGTCCTCCCCTTCAGAGGATTACACACACCCATTGTAGAGCACCAACTCACCCATATTTAACCATAAATAAAGGAAAGCTAAATCTTGATACAGTGTGCATGTGTCCTATTTCTTTTATTGGACCAAATTCCATGGATTCACAGTGGCAAATACTCCTTATTACCATCACTAGGATGTGTCATGTAGAAGTGTCTGATGGGAGAAATATAGTGGAGAAAGAAAGGATCTTCAAGATGCTGTGAGAGCAACAGAATTTAGATTGGTATTTTACATCCTGGATATATTCTCTGTATAAAGCCAAGCCCAAAGAAAAAAAGTTAAGTTTTAATACAGAAAGAACAGACTGGAAATACCGTTTGTTCTCACTATTTAGCTGTAGAAAGAGAAAACATTTTTGAATCTATGACAGTATTCAGAAGTCATTGTATATGTAATCAAAATTGAACGGTTATGATAATTTTGCACAGTATCTGTTATTAGTAGACTTATAATAGTGAAAAGACTTTCATGTTCCTTTTCTTTCATTTGCTGGTGAGTCTGTGGTGATAATATATCTAATACTTGCCAAAAAGTATGAGTATTTTAGCAAATTGTTTAGTAACAATTATATTGTGGTTTTATTTTCCATCTGGGATTATATACTAATAGGAAAATACTGGATTGACCCAAATATTGGGTGTCCTTCTGATGCCATTGAAGTTTTCTGCAACTTCACTGCAGGTGGTCAGACATGTTTAACACCGCTGTCTGTGACAAAGGTATGCATTGCTTCCAGAGAGACTGTACCTGTGCTGGAACTCTGAACAAATGAATGCTTATTTGCTTAACTCATGAAAAGATGTTAGATTTCGGGGTGTTTTTTAATGTGCATCTTTGTGGAAGGGTATGTTACATATTCTGTTACAGAATTTACAGATTTGCTGGAGACAATATATGTTAGTGTAACTCTCATTTTGCATTTACTTACCTTCTGTGCTGATAGAATTACTTTGGTTTGCTTTATACTTTTCTATACAAGGCACAAAAATAAGCCTGAAATGCTTCTAAGCTACATTAGTAATTCATCACTCAGGGCAGCAAAGTGTAGAGATGCTGAGGCCATTGCAATGGGAAGGAAGAAAATTATGACTACTTTTCAACACTAAGATACTTTTAAATGCCATTAGGCAGAGACTGGCTTCCTTTATATCATTAGTCCATGCTCCGCTTTATACGTAGTCCTTAAACCCTTGGGAATAGAAATTTTGTATTTGTGGAGTTTTGCATATACACTGTAGTCATTGAAGAGCATCAGAAATACCATAAAGTTCCCATGTGCATTCCTATATTTGGGAGATCCCTGAATATGATCTAGTCTTGGAGAAATTCCTGTTGAGTAATGAGTAACTATATTTTCTGTCTAAAATCAAAGCATGCTTACAAATTTTTGGTTTTTTAATGGGATGTAGGTATTGCCGGAACCTGTGGTCTAAGAAGGCTAAACAGCAGAATGATGTGCTGCAGTTAAAATACTGCTGCTGCTAATATCTTTGTTTGAATCATAAAATCATTTGTTTCAGTTACCTTATTTAAAAATAGTGTTTTCTGCCCAGCTGTGTTTCAACAGGGTTGTAAGCATTAGCAAATGTTTACATTTAATCTTTGAAAATGTCCTATCAAAGCTTCTGTTTACACTAATCGCTATAATGGAAGCTAACAGCTCTCCTGAAAGATACAAATTGTGCTCTTTAGCACTGATCCCAATGTATAAACACATATACGTGCTCCCATGCCTGAGCACCACACATGTGCGTGCATGTCACTTTGCGTTGCTGTGGCCATTCAGCATAGTCCAGCTGTAAGTCTGACGATGCATTTCTCTTGAACTTAGCTGGAGTTCGGCGTTGGAAAAGTGCAGATGAACTTCCTTCATTTACTGAGCTCAGAAGCAACCCATAGCATCACAGTTCATTGTCTGAACACACCAATGTGGAGATTAAATAAAGTAGGTGGCCAGAAAACGTCTGTTAGCTTCAAAGGATGGAATGGTCAAATATTTAAAGCAAATACGCTACTTGAACCGAAGGTGCTTATGGATGAATGCATGGTAAATACTTTTTAGCACTAGCATTACTAAAACCATAATGGACTTACTGTTTAGACATTATTAACTTTCTGCAAATAAATAACAATCATTTAGATTCACATCCCTTAAAGCTTCTTACATTGTTCTGCATATGTCTCTATATCCCAACCTTTTGATACTGAATTCAACATCTACCCAAATGTAAAAGCAATTGCAGTAATACAGGGTATCTAGATTTGCTGTTCGCATTGAGTGTCATGTCTTTGAAGACACTGGAGAGAAATCTGAACAGAAATAAGGAGGTCCTCCAGGTAACTTTAGGAACAGTTACTCTCAAAATCAAAATTCAGGCTTCAGTAAGAGTTCAGTTGAGGTTAATCTAACGCAAAATCTCAGGTTCAAACAGGCTGGAAATTATTTTTTGAACAACTAAGTATCTTTAAATTCATTGACTATGAGGCAATTGTTTCGTTATTTAATAAAATACTGATGATTGGAAATGGACTCCATTGCTAACTAAAATACTAAATCATATTTGTATTTAAGAAAAATTGGAAGAGCTTATTACTTTCCTAATACTTATTAGATTACTCCACTCGCCAAGATATGAACCATTTGGTAAATGTCTTGGTAGAACACTATGAAATATAGGAGACAAGCACTTTCCTCTTTCAGTATTTTATAGCTCTACTTTTATTTGCAATAACAAAAGATATGAGACTGGTTCCGTATCGATACAGGGGTGCCAAGTGAGATTTTTAATCTCAAGACAGAAAGTGGTTTTATTGAGGTGCTTCGAAGCTGTTATGCTTCCAACCTTTGTTGGCCCACACTAATGAGATGCTGTAGCCTGTGTCATGCAGCTAAGGTATGGCCATTGAAGCCCCTTCTCCCCACCTCCCCACCGTCTGAGACCGTTTTAATCCTGAGAAAAATAAAGGCATACAGCGATGGCGGTTGAGAAGTGCCATTTTTCTGTGAGATTCTACAGGGTCTGTTGCTCTTTCTGTGGGAAGCTATGTATTGTACAGATCTGCTGCAGAATCTCACACATTTCCCTCTCTGAAGGGATTTCACTTTTAAGTGGTGTCCACTGTACCTGATGGTTTTTAAGAATGGAGCGATTGCAAACATCGAGGCACTGCCAGCCTCAGACAATGTTACAATGCTATTTTATAATTTTTATGAGGTATCAGTTTTTTACTGAGATTTTTAAAGGATTAGAGTAATCAATACAAAGTTGATGGGAAAAATGCAGCTCTCATTCTCCATGATTTTTCTTCAAGGACAAAGTCATTCCAGTGCCTGTAGAATGCATAAGCTCAGACCTACTGTTCAGATTCAGAGGTGAATTTAGCAAGAGAGCTAAGAGTCTGTATGAGCCCAGGACTGCTTGCAAAGTGACAGGCGCTCTGCTCTCAGCCATGTTGCGCTGTGTCTGCAGCCGCTCCAGCTGGACTCCTGCCTGGGCTTTTTTACAGTTACAGTTTTGCCAGGAGTGCCCATGGTATTGCATGGGAGAAATGGCATTTGTTACATTACACAGTTTCTTTAGGAACTGCTGGGAGAAGAAATGTTTCTGTAGGCTTCTCCTCCTCCTCTCACTCTTTAAGCACAATTCCCGTTTGTGTTTTAAAGCTCATCTTTGATACGAATCTAACATTCTGCTTCTGTGTGTTGCAGATTGAAGATGGCAGCTGGCATAAAACACAGTTCTTTTTTCACACTCAGGACACTAATCAGCTTCCAGTTGTTCAAGTTAATGCACTTCCTCATCTCCAACCAGGACAGCAGCACTTCATAGAAAGTGGTTCCGTGTGCTTCCTTTAAGGTTTCTGTCCTGGGTTTTTTTGCATCAACATGGAATTGCTGCATAGATTGAATGCAAAAGTAATGATCCATTGCAGGCAAAATCAGTAGGAAACTGAAGAATTGTTTTAAACAGTGTTGGTTAAAGAATCTCAAGAAGAAAAAGACTTCCTCCTAAGGAGAAATGGCATTGAAAAAGAAAAGAAAGAAAAGACTACAACCATTTTCATAAAGGATTAAAAAAAAAAAATCAGTTGGTGCTTTCTTGCATAATTTCCTGGAACTGGGTATCTGAACATGGAATTCTTCAGGACCTCTAGCGTTCTTAGCAATCTCTTTAACAGCACTGCAAAAAAAACATCCCGAGGAAAGCTGGAGACATACAATACTAAGGAGCAATACTGGCTAATGCTCCTAAATGTGCAATAGCTTATATATGAAAAGTGAATTATGCCACAGTACAATACGTCTTCTTTTCTTAAACATTGTTTTATTATAGTCCTCTGTGGACACATACATCTTAACAGATGGCACACTACCTCTTTTGTGTTTCCTGTCCATGTTGCCTTGGTGCTCGTCCTAACACAAGGTGCTTGTGGCCTCACCAAATGGAGTCCCTTTTTATCTTTCAGACTGTATGTGCTGGTTACATCAGGATATGTTTCTGTTGTAAAGGTACTTATTTTAAATCATTGGTCACATACTTCACTACAAAGAAAACATTATTTATGTGGATTTCTTGTTTAAAATATTTTTTGTGTACTTTTGTGGAAATGGTATATGAGACAGCACATTGTATATGATGCCTATAGTCAGAACAGTTAGCTTTACAGCCATTGTAAAAATTGTTGTAGAAGAGCTGCCTATAGTAGTTTTGAGTTTTACGTTCTGTATTTCAGTTAACATTTGGAATGCCAAAGGCATCTTAAGATGATATATTGTGTATATATTTTGTAACTTGTGAAAAAGATCTACTACAGCATGTCTTCTGAATGGCTGCTGTTAAATTATAATCAGCATTTCATCAACCTAGAAATTCCTTTTTTTTTTTTTTTTTGCCTTATTAGGTCATTTCAGTTCTTTTAAATTAAGCCTAAGGTGTTCAACCATCTTTTTTTATTAAAAAAAGAACAACTTCACCAATTAGGAAAAGCACTCTTTGTAACGATATGTCTCTCTCTGTTATCAGTCCAAAGTCTGCTCAGTAGTACACAGCAGGATGATACCAGACTGTACTGGGGAGGAAGGGGAGTGTTCAAACAACTTGTTTCACTGTCTTGATCCACAGGAAACCATGCTTGCCAAAGTATAATAAAATAAGCTTCCAAGCTCTCTGTTTGTCTTTCACTATTCTGTTTCGTATTGTGTAGTTCACTCTTAGTAACGACGAAAATCCTGTAGAAGGGTACTTGTTAGGCGGCAATGCTTCCTTTACCGAGGGGAAAAGCACACGCTTCGTGCCATGGAATACTGCGAGAGTGACAGCGTTTACAAGGTAACGTACGTGCACATCCCATTTTACATTTTATGTCAAAGCATCAGTTTTGTTCCCTGTGAGAAAATCTGATAAAACCGAAGACAAAGCAAGATTACAGAGTGACGATGAAGGTTAGAGAAAATTTCTCACTTTTTGCGTTTTCAGCATTGTTACAGTCTGACAGTCTCGCTTGTCATTTGGTCTTTGTTTGGCTGTGGAGCTGATGTTGTGACAAATGGATTATTTTTTGGTAAGAAAGTAATCTTGTAGAAAACGTTCTGCTTCGTGCATATTTTTATTAGTCTCATTGCCCTATTTTTGGAAATTCTTTGTAGCCTTTACTTACAGTTCATATTAGCGTGTCTCAGAAATTATGTTTTTTAAAAACAAATAGCTTAGAAGTATTCTAAGGCTGCTCAGAGGGACATATCTGCATTTCTGTACTTGAGGCAGCGCCATGAACTCGAGCAGCAGGACGCCGACGGACGGCGGCGCCGTGCTTCGCTCCCGTTGCGGGTTGCCAGAAACGTTGGGCTGAAAGCATCCCGCTTGGCGGGATACTTGTGTGCGCGGCAGCGGGCGTTTGGGGAAGCCTCTGGTCTTCAGGCGTCTTTACGGGAGCTCCTGAAGGCGTTGGCAGGAGATTTTATACAATTTTGTCCCGCAATGTTCAGAAGTACCTGTACACCGCAATTAGTTTTTGTACGGTTTTTGAGGTGGTCGCCTACTTGGTTAACCCTCATCTTAGAGCAAGCCCTGAGCTAGACTACAAGAGGCGTTGTGGGAATCATTTTATCCCTTTTACTGTTATTTAACACGGTTAAAAATCCATTCAGAAGCACCCGGGAAGCAGGAGGACACAGCCCGAGGCGGGGGCAGCGGGGCCTTTCTCAAGGCCTGGCCCAGCGGGC